ATGAGCCGGGGCCCGGCAGGGTGGCAGCCACCGAGAGCCCTGCGGGGAGAGCGGCCGTGGGGTGAGCGAGGTGTGCAGAGCATCCCGGGCTGGCTGAGGGGTCCCAGAGCCCTGGCACGGCCTCAGCCCCACTGACAGCACCGTGCTCCTCCCGCAGCCCGACGGCACCCGTGCTCCCCTGGAGATTGTGCTGCTGGACAAGGTGTCCTCTGGCTGTACTGCTATCATTCAGCTGCTGGAGTGGCTTGAGCTCCCCGACAGCTTCTCGTTAGTGTTGGAGTGTCCACAGCAGTGCCAGGACCTCTCGCATTTGCTGGCGGAGCAGGGGTTCCTGCCGGAGGAGGAGGCGCGGAGGCTCTTTCGCCAGGTGCTGGAGGCCGTGCAGCACTGCAGCAGCTGCAGGGTCCTGCACAGGGACATCAAGCCAGAGAACATCCTGCTCGACCTGGCCATGGGGCAGCTGAAACTGATTGACTTTGGCTGTGGCGCCTTCCTCCAAGACACAGCCGACACCCAGTTTGCAGGTGAGCCCTCGCAGGGGATGCTCCTGGACATCTCATAGCCCAGCCTGGGTGTGGCACCGGGGATTCCCCGTGTTGCTGCCGGGATGGGATTAATGCTTGAGCCAAGTTGATTTGGGTAGGGGTGTGAGGGGGCCCAGGTTGAGCCCTGCCGACAGCCTTCAGCACCCACTGTGCCCTGGGCTGGGGCTGGGACAGCCAGCCTGACAAAAACCCCCATGGGGGTAGCAGAGGGCGGGGGTCTGATCCCATGCCCCAGAGAGTTTAGTGAGTCAGCGAGGAAGGGCTTGAACTCCTCTGCTCCCCACGTTTGCCTTGGCTTACTAACAATTTTTTGGAGGCCATGCAGGCAGGGAGGAGAGTGTGCTTTCTCTACCACAGGGTGGGTTTTTATTTGCTTGTCAGGGTTGGGCCTCCCCAGTGCTTGTGCTGCCCTCTTCCAGCAGCAGTGGCTTCTTTTCCAACCCTGGGTTTGTACCCAAGTCCCAGGTGCTGGCGAGAGGGCAGTGGGTCACCCTGTGTGCCGCTGGGGCAGCCCCCACATGCCCAGGGATGCTGGGGTCAGGCTCTGGGAGCAGCAGCATCCCCCTGATGAACTCCATCTGTGTTCCACAGGAACCCTATCCTACAGCCCACCAGAGTGGATCCACCAGCAACGCTACCATGGCCAGGCAGCAACAATCTGGTCCCTGGGCCTCCTGCTGTACCAGCTGGTCATAGGGAAGCACCCATTCATGAGGGGCCAGCAGATCATCTGGGGGCAGATCTTGTTCCCACGACAGCTCTCCCAAGGTGAATCCTCATCTTTGGGCACGGGGGGAACACTGGGGTTGGGAGACAGCAGCGGGCTCATGAGCATCCTACTCTGGCAGCTGCTGAGGAGGTGGCACATGTCCTGCTCTCCTGCAAACAGGGAATCCATGGGGAAGTTGAGGCCCAGCTCTGAGCACACCCAGCATGGCCTGGGCACAGGAAGGGGGCAGCAACTTCTCCAACTGGCTGGTGATTCCTGGTTTCTCTCTTCAGAATGCCAAGATATTATTAAGAGATGTTTGTCCATGCAACCCTTGGACAGGCCATCCTTAGAAGACCTTTTCCAAGATCCTTGGATGCAGGGTGTTCATCTGCCCTAGGAGATGGGAAATCCACATGCACAGTTGGATCCAAGGGCCTGGCAGGTAACAGCTCCACACATTTCTTGGCAATCAGTGGCAAAGCAAACCAGGCTGTTTTTGTTGTGCCTGTAGCTCTGAGCAGGGGTCATCAGAAGGGAACACACAGCTCTTGGGCTTGAGCTGAGCTGGACACCTGGTGTGGCAAGCACTGGTGGCCACCATTCCCCCTGCTTTTGCTTGTCTGCTTCACTGATGGCTGGGACCCTGGGCAGAGCACTGACAGCCTGGTCTGGTCCCTAGGGAAGGAGAAGGAGCCCCTGGAGAAGCTGTTACCAGGTGATGCTGCTGCTGGAGACACCAAGGGCAACCTCAAGGATGGCAATCTCTTCCTCCACCTGGCCAGCTGAAGATGATCAATTTCAATTCTGGCATGTCTTCTTCAAAGACTCGCTCCACGCCCAATTTGCAGGTGAGTCCACAGCCAGGGGATGCTCCCAGATCTGGGCATGGCACAGCCTGGCCGGCACCAAAGGTTCCCCCCTTGGCTGGGGTGGATGCAACCAATTCTTCAGTTGGCTGCCAGGCTGCTTTTTGTCTCTGGGCAGCTGCTGAGGGGCTGGATCTGCCGTGGCTGGCTGCAGGCTGGGCACATGTCCTGCCCTCCTGCTCTGCTCCCAAAGGCAGCAGTGATGGGCAGCTTTGGGCTCAGCGCTGAGCACGGCCAGCATGGCCTGGGCACCGCGGCTGGCTGGGACAAGGGGACAGGAGCCTTCAGCTGACGGGCGGTTTCTGGTTTCTCTCCTTGCAGCCGGGCTCTGCGGATGCTGAGGCTGCTCTGGGCTCTGCCAGGGCTCTGCTGGGCTCAGCCCCAGGCACAGCTGGGCTCACCCTGCCCTCCCATTGCTCTGACAGCTTTGCATCGCATGAGCCCGTTCCCAGCACACCACCTGAGCTTTCTGCTTTTGCAGGTGAGTAAGACTTTACTGCAGGCCAAGAGATTGCAGTTAGGGACACACATCCAATTGGCAAGAACCCAAACTCTCCACAGTCCCAGCTGAATGCCTGCATCTGCACAGGATGTTTTCTATGTCCCACTCGTCCTTTCTTTTTGGCTGGAATTGTGCAATTGCACTTTCTTCCTCCTCTAGAAGTGCCACTGCTGTGTTCCTGAGGCAGTGCAGTCTGGAGCTGATGGATGAAGAATTGCCCTTCTGCACTTCCAAACCAGAGCAAAAAGCTGTAAGTGGGACTTTGCATATTTAAGAAACCCCTGAATGTTTGAAAGGGAATGTGCAGCTCATTCACAGGGTGAGAAGGAAGGACATCTTCTAAAGGATTTGGATTTTGATAGAGTTTAGATTTCCAGTGCTGCTTGGAGCTGGCAAGGCGCAAAGCACTTTCTTCTCGCTTCACACCAATTTCACCACAATTTAAAATAACAATATTGGAATCAAACCCCAAAAACTTTTTCAAAAAGGTTACTGAGGCCAGTAAGATGCATCATGCCATCAGCACATTTACAAAGGAAATAACTGAGTTTTATGTTTCCAAAGACCAATTACGCCTTAATTCAAAGTTATAGAAGATTTTTCACTGCACACTTGGGTTCTGTTTTTATCTTTCACATTTTATACAAGTTTTTTTCTTTTATTTTTCCTCATTTTTCCCCTTAAAACAGGAATCATGCTGTGAAAAAGAAGTGTTCTTTGCTCCTGGTTCCCGTGTGGAGCAGCTCCCTTCCCGCTGGCTGAGCTGCTCAGGCAGAGCCTGGCAGCTCCTGGCCCTGCAGGGCTGAGGCTTTTCCCCATTGCTGGGCACAGACTGATGGAGCAGCAGTGCTGAACCATTGCTGGGCACAGACTGATGGAGCAGCAGTGCTGAACATGGGCACACGCAGAGGGAGCAGAGCAGCTGCCTTTGCCCACCTGAAGCTCCAAGGCCAAACTCTGAGCAGGCACGGCTGGAAGAGACTTGCAGGCTCCCTGTTGGCTCTGCTGCCCCACTTGTGCCCAGCCCAGCTCTGCGTGAGGCAGAGGGAGAACAAGGGGCAGCTCCATCCCAGCCCCAGCCCAGGGACCCCTCGAGGCAGCCCTGGGCCTTGGGCCACTGTCAGCACCCGCTGCTCCAGCCACCGCTTCTGCTGGCACTGACAGCAACAACTAAACTGGGGCTGGTCCCGAGGGAGCAGCAGCAGTGCCTGGATCTGATCCCTCAGTCTGGGGCAGTGGTGGAAAAATAATCGCAGCAGTGCCAGCAGCAGCACCAGCAGCAGCACCACCACCAGCACCAGCAGCACCAGCAGAACCAGCAGCAGCACCACCACCAGCAGCACCACCACCAGCAGCACCACCACAAGCAGCACCAGCACCAGCAGCACCAGCACCAGCAGCACCACCACAAGCAGCACCAGCACCAGCAGCACCAGCAGCAGTACCAGCATCACCAGCAGCACCAGCAGCAGCACCAGCAGCAGCACCAGGAGCAGCAGCAGCAGCACCAGCAGCAGCAGCACCACCAGCATCACCAGCAACAGCACCAGCACCAGCAGCACCAGCACCAGCAGTACCAGCAGCAGTACCAGCATCACCAGCAGCAGCAGCACCAGGAGCAGCACCAGCAGCAGTAGCACCAGCACCAGCACCACCAGCAGCACCACCAGTGGCAGCACCAGCAGTACCAGCAGCAATACCACCAGCAGCACATTTCAGTGCAGCCTCTGCCATGCTTCCCTCCCTGTGCAGTGGTGTCACAGCAGCCTGAGGCACCTGGGAGCCTTCAGTGCCAGCAGGGACTTGAGATGACAGCCCTGGGCTCCTGCACGTTGTGCCAGGAACAGAGCTGGGGACTCCCTCTCCGTGTGGAGCTTCCAGATGAAAAAGGCTGCTGTGAACAGGCAGCTCCAGGGACACAGAAAGGAGGAGCTCGACCCCTTGATCTGTGCCAGTCCCACAGTCCTGGGCAGCAGCCACCGAGCCCTGGGGGAACAGAGGGCACAGCAAGAGGGACAAAACCAGTCAAGGTCAGAGACTGGGAAGAGCCAGACGTGGGAGCAGGAACAGCTGCTTCACTGAATCCTGTTGTAGTTGATAGCCTGAAATGTATCTTTTCCCATCTTTTAGTTGTGATTCTCCCCCCACCCCCAGCTTCTCTTTCTCCTAACTGTTTACCTGGCGTCAAGTTCCCATGGTTACTGAAGTTTCTCTCCTCAGCCCCACGTTGAGAGGCCGGATAAAGAGAGGACCCCGCTGGCATTTCCAGCTGCTTGAAGTTTCTTTAGCCCAGGAAAGCACGGGGTTGGGAGAAGAGAACCCTTCTTTCCAACACGGAAGTTTGTAACTCTGTTTTTCCTGTCGAACCCTTCTTTCCAACACGGAAGTTTGTAACTCTGTTTTTCCTGTCCCAGAATGCCTCTAAACTATGGAAGCTGGGAGGGCATGCTTACCTTCCCTTCCCTTTCTTTCCCCCCTGGGTTTCCTGGCAACCAAGCCCCCCTCTCTCCTCTGCTGCCCCTCTGTGGAGAATACTCCTACACCTTTGTGGGCATTTGAAGAAGTTGGTGTCTGTTATTTCTTATCTTGGTGTGTGTAACCTTGATTTGTAGAAAGTTTGTAAGATGTACTAACTGAGAAAAATAATTGGTTCTTTCTCTGATGTTCCCTCCCTCCGAGAAACCCTGTTAAAAGAGACCCCCCCAGACCCCAAATCCTTTGTCTCTCGTCCTTTGGATTCCCCTTCACAGAAATAAACTGTGGAATGCAAACCAGAGAGAGAGTCCCCCCCTGATTTCTTTACTCGCTCTATAGACTTGAATTCTTGAAGAAAATCAGTGAATCTCACAAACATATGCTGGCTCAAAACTCGAGTGAAGAGAAACCTCATCACTGAGCTAGCCGGGTCACACTCGAGAAGATCGAGTCAAATCCTGGAGAAAGCTCTTGGCTGGTTCAAAGCACTGAAAGGTGTGAAGGGCAGAGAGGAGGCCGCACCAAACAATGCTCCTGTTTTCACACCCTCCCCTCTCCGTGTCCCAGAAGGAATTGGATGAACTTATTCTTCTTTCCGAGTTGTCTCCTTCAGCTTGAGCAGCTCAGCACCAGGAACTGAAGGAGCTGAAGCCTCAGGCCACAAGAGCTGAGCAAGAGGGGGCTTTTGGACTAAAGTAATGCTGCTAAGTAATGGAACTAGCTGAATGCAGCAGATAGAATCCTGGTATTATAGTACCATTCTGCTGGAAAAGACCTCTGAGCTCATCCAGTCCAGCCAGTCACCCAGCAGTGTCAAGCCGCCCACTAAACCTCGTTTCTGAAGTGCTAAGGTCTGAACAACAGGCCCTGAGTGAGGCCTGAACAACAGGCCCTGAGCCAAAGGTGACCTCTGAATGAACCTTCCAGCCAAAGGTTATCTGTCCCTCTGCTAATTACTGAAATATGCATGGTCATGAACACTGTGATAGATGTATCCACTCATCAATGAAACATGGATTGACCTTTCTGTGTTTAGAAGCCAGACAAGACCATTAAATCCGACATCTGGCCTTGTTTGGGGTGTATGATCAGGGTCGACCCCCTTGGTTCCTCCTTGAGCCCTGGCCAGGCTTTGGTAGGGACTCAAGAGGAGGATGAAACCAGATGTTCCCACACCAGAAGTGCTGTCAGTTTGTTTATTCAGCACTATCAAAGCTGGGCCCTCTCTCACAGCAAGGTTGGAGCCTCACCTGTGGCTGGAGGCACCTGCAGGAATTCCCAGTGTCTGGAGTGGCTCTCCAGCCCTTGGCTGTGACAGCTTCCCCAGCTGATGGGTGGATCTGGGGATGGCAAAGTCTGAGGGGAACTGGTGCTGGATCTGTGTTAATCCCTGCAGGCAATCTTTGGCAGTGATGATTGGATTCATTGCTGAGCTGCTCCTTTTGTGTTCCTTTGCTGCTTGGAGCTGCAGTAAATGACACTGATTCCTTCAGGTGGTGTTTGTGCCTTTGGTGCCGACTCTGCCCGCTGGTGAAACAAAGCAAAGTCTAGCCAGATCACAACAAAATGTCACTTTTAAAATGTAAATGTAAGGAATCAGTCCCATCTGTAATTCCCAGAAATGTAAATGTAAGGAATCAGTCCCATCTGTAATTCCCAGAGGGAAGCTCTCCCCAGAGTTTGCTGGCTCTGGAGTGGGGCTGAGGTCGGAGCACCGTGCGAGCAGTGGGGCAGTTGGTTAAAAGAGGCTGAATCGCTGGAAGTCTTAAAATGCATCCAAACATTGCATATGGAAAAAGGAAAAGAACTTATGGGTTTGGGAAGACGAGGATGGATTTTGTTAACAGCACCAACAGAAGGAACAATTCTTTTAGGAATGCTCCCTACATGGAGTGACAGAAGCAGGTTTTAGTCTTTAGCTCAGGTTTGTTTGTCAAAATAAAATAAAATAAAATAAAATAAAATAACAATAACAATAACAATAACAATAACAATAACATATATTTATATATATAACTAAAAATCGATAATGTGAAATAATGCTGACAATTCCAATTTGTTAGCTTTGCTGCTCACTGTAACACTAAAATACCCTACAAAAAAGGACTAGCAAAGACCCAAATGTCAGTGGTAAACTTTGTGAATCGTATACAAGGAATAAAGGAGGAAGGGATAAAACTGGCTATTTTTATAGGGTTTGGTGATGTTGTGATGTGGAATGCTTTGTCTGTTCCTGTGAAAAACACAGTGATTAAGACTGCTGGGTTTTCCATGTACCAGACTATCTACAAGCTGCAGGATTGGAACCTTTTATCTCCACAAACAGTGCTGATTGGAGGTGGATGTCCTTTTTTCACAATCGTTTTTAAACTACAATATCAATATTTGTGCTAACCTGTCATGGGGTTGAATCATCCAATCTTGTTCATTATTGTTTAACAGAATTACTTTAATTTCTCCTTGATAATCTGCATCAAGTCCTCCTCCCATGACATGAACACTTTGCAAGGCCAAGCTCCAGTGAGCAGTTACCAAACCAAAGTGTCCTGGAGGAATCTGAATTCCTCTTTCAGAATTGATAACTCATTTGCTTCTGCTCTGTCCTAATTAATTCCAGTGAATGAAGGTCCAGCCCTGCAGCCTCTGGGGAGGCCCTGGCAGGGGCCATCACACCCAGAACAATTTCCCAGGCAGTCCAAGTCTCACTGTCCATGGTTGTGTTTGCAAATTGGGTGCAGCCGTGCACACCCAGGGGTTTCCATTTCCCAGTGGGCCCATTGTTAAGGGCATGGAGCCCATCTGGGAGATGGGTTCTCCACCGGGACAGGTTCCCATCTCCTCATTTTATCAACTGCTCTTTTAACAATTGTTCAACCAATCCTGCAGCATGTAGATAGTGTGGTACATGAAAAACCCAGCAGTCTTAATCACTGTGTTTTTCCCAGGAACAGACAAAGCATTCCACATCACAGCATCGCCAAACCCTATAAAAATAACCAGTTTTATCCCTTCCTCCTTTATTCCTTGTATACAATTCACAAAGTCTACCATTGGCATTTGGGTCTTTGCCAGTCCTTTTTTGTAGGGTATTTAGTGTTACAGTGAGCAGCCAAAGCTCACAGATTAGTATTGTCAACATTATTTCATATTATCAATTTTTAATTTTGGATATAAATATATTATTATTATTATTATCATCATCATCATCATCATCGTTGTTGTTGTTTCACTTGCACAAACAAATCTGAGCTCAAGTGTAAAACCTGCTTCTGTCACTCCACATGG